TTGGCAGACTCTGAGACTCATGGTTTTCTCAGTTAATTATTAAATGGGAATAGACTTGGGAAAGAGTGCCAGGTATGACAGCCAAGTTGAGAAAAGGACTCATCTCAACTTAAATAGGGGTACACTGGACTCTAGAACCTCTCTATTCTGAGCCCCAGCATTCTCTTAGGAGAGCTGAGTGCTTACAACACAAACTCATTGGGATGCTAAAATATGATTGTGAGGTGTTGTGTTTTGTTTGTCTTCATTTCTCCTCTTTCAGGATAAGGCAAGAATGGGACATTATACTAGAGTGCAGGAAAAAAGGCATTCCACAAGCTGCGTATCTGAATAACGGCTTTATAGATACCAACAGAATTTTGGATAAGCTAGAAAAGAACTCATCATTGATTAAGAAGATTGCCTTGTTGGATGAAACGAAGAAAGAAAAAAACAAATTTGTTTTTCAACTGTCAGGGGAGCAGTGGACAGTAAGTGTAGTATTTGAATGGATAGAACATTTGGGCAATACAACACTTTTCTATGAATGTTGGCCATAGTTCATCAATGTGAGCTGAGTTTATGTTGAGTTCAGTAGGATAAAACATGTCTAAACTCTTTTGGCTCCTAATTAGGCCAACAAATTAAATGATGAAACCCAGATTTGCACCCTGGAATGAGTCCCAATAAAGACCTGGGAAATGTTCTTCTTTCAAGAATGCTCATCTTAGAGAATTGTTGCCCCTCAGATACCAGAGTCAAACCATGATGGATTCATAGCACAAACATCTTTTCAGTACACCATACATCTAGAGGGTTTCTTTATTGCTATTCGAAGGATGAAGACTGGGCTTTTCTAGTAGCTGTCTTTGTGGAACAAATTATCAGCTTCCTGCTAGCTTCAGTGTAGTGATCAAAGCTTACTGAACAATATGAGGGGATTGGAGAGCAGAACTAAAAGGAAGTCTTGTGTCAATTTCTATCCCTACCATAAGCTAGCTTGTAAACTGAGCACTGAGCACTGAAATGCCATATAGGCTGGTGTTCAGGCAAAGCATAGCCATAGATATGTCACGTAGTAATCACAGTTATGAGAAGCCATTTATAGTGTGTTTCCTGGTGACCTTTAGACAAAATTTGCAATTAATGTTTCTGCTTTTCTTTTTATGCTTATTTATTTTTGTACTTTTGTTTTAACACCATCTAGGAATACTACATTCACCTTTGCTTCATACATAGTCAATTTAATTCACTTTTTAAAGCCCAACAAGGAGGTGGCATCAGTGGTTCTGGAGTACACCAAACACAGGTTTTAATGATAATTGTGTGCCTCTTTGCTTCACTTTTTTTCTTGATTGTTTTTAAAAGTATGTTGTTGCCTTTAATGCTCTTACAAAGTTAATCTAAAATTAATAATGGGACAGAAACAAATATAGTAATTTCTATCGATATTTTCTGGCAATATGAGGCAAGAATTCATTTCACAAAGACTTTTGATTGTAAATAGAGATGGTGATGGACCACCAAACCATCAGTTCATGCTGGTTCATACAAAACAGGTGTTTGGTGCTTCCCAGCCCCGCCTCCTCTGATGGGCATGGATTCTGAGTCAGTGTCCCAGCTTCCCTGCCCTGAATCCTCAGAGGGCTGCCTCTGAGTGAGTGCCTGCTAGAGGAGGCAGGCTGCGGGGGAGAGCACCGGACACTGGTTTGGACAAAGAACAAACTGGCATGAACCACTGGTGCCCACCTCTAATTATAATTTCACAGGATGGCATAATTTCTTACTGTGATTGCAAGAGTTTTATTGAATTTTAGTTTTAATTTAGTTTATTTTATTGGGTTTTATTGAATTTATTCTCCCTTTTATGTTTCTAACCTGCCCTGGGGCCTTGCCAGTAGGAGAGTGTCTAAACATTTTGAATAATGAACCAACTAAATCATATAGTACTGCCACTGTTCCTGTTCAGTGAAAGCTCTCCTGTCATGTCATTTCCATTAATCATTCTGGTTATGCTCCAGAAAAGAATGTAACCATGGAATAGTTGCTGTAATTACTTGCCATGAAGGGAGTTTTTTCTGTTCAAAATTCTTGGGCCTTAAGGGCCAGATTTGACATGATATTGGATGTTTGTGACTGGATCACTTGTTTTTCTGAATTTATTTGAAAAACAGTGCCAGCTGGATTGGGAATACGGTGCTGAGAGTAGGCAGATAACTTTGTAGCTTGAACTATGGAAATCCCTTACCCAAGCTGCTGTTTGCCCCATTCAGAAAAACATAGTACAGTGGTGCCTCGCTAGACGATGATAATCCATTCCACTGAAATCGCTGTTTAGCGAAATCATTGTCTAGCGAAAAGCATTTCCCTATTGGAATGCATTGAAACCTGTTTAATACGTTCCAATGGGGAAGAATCGTCATTGTCTAGCAAAGATTGGCCATAGGAAAGATGCTTTGCGAACCACCAATCAGCTGTTTAAATTGCTGTCTTGCGAAGCTTTGGTCCCGAAAACACCTGTTTGCAAGCGCAGAAGGAGCTGTCAAAATCGTCATCTAGCAAAAATCAGTTTGCGAAGCAGGAACCAAACACTGCCCAGCGAAATTCCCCCATTGGAGTTACTGTTTTGCGAATCGCTATAGCCACTGGTTCTTAACCTTGGGTTACTCAGGAGTTTTGGACTGCAACTCCCAGAAGCCTTCACCACTAGCTGTCCTGACTGGGGTTTCTGGGAGTTGCAGTTCAAAAGCATCCGAGTAACAAAGGTTAAGAACCACTGGCTATAGCGATCGCAAAAAGCCAATGTCTAGTGAAAAAACTATCATGCGGGGTAATTGTCTAGCGAGGCACCACTGTATTGCATTTACAGCCATATAAGCCAGAGGTGGGACCAGTATTTGGGAGGGGACACACACTTGGAAGATGACATGAGACAAAATGCTTAAGCCCCTGCCCCCAATTAAATAGGGACACATTGGGTTTATACTATTTGGAAAAGAAGTTTCAACTTTTGTCCTACACTTTTACGATGCACATAAGCAGGCAGAGGCCAGGAAAGAACTGGAGCTCCTACTCTTAACCAAAAACTTAATCCACTTGAGCTCCACCAAACCAGATTCAGAAGTGATCAGGAAGAGATCAGGCTACTTTTGTGAAATAATCACTTTTATTAATTATAGTAATGTTTTGGGCATGTAGGAGATAAACCAAAGAAAGATAAACTCACAACATATCTATACGGGCTCCCTTGTGATGGCAAAAGTACTGTGGGCAAAGCTCTTTGCACACCCGAGCACACTAGATTCTGAAGTGAAAGCCAGGGTGAAACTGCAGTGTTGTGACTTCTATAGGCTTTACTCTTGGAAGCTGTTAGAATAGGTAAACAAACCAAGCAGAGGACTCTTCAGCTGCAGGTAAAACAAAAACCAACCAACCAACCAAAACAAAACAATTGAGAAACAGCCTAATTAACAGATCAGTTCAGAGCCTGGAATGGGTCTTGACTGAAATCCTACTGGGATGGTAGTCCCATCCAGAGCAATTCCATGGAATTAGTGGGGTTTAATAACTGTTGACCTGCCATTCCACAACTGATTCACTGAATCTACTCTAGATTAGCAATATGATTTAGGCTCTAATCACTGGGCTGCTGCTGGCATGCAAGGGTGACAGTTTCACTGTCTTTTTATAGCAGTGGCTGAGTATTTGTAATTTATGTTGAGGGAAAGAATATAACCCTTCCAATGCCAAGACAACCTGTGACGTTACTTCTGGGAACAGCTCATGTGCCTGCTGATCCCCCCCCTTCTACACCTTCCCCTGCCACATATTAACCTGGAAAAGTTTTATGCTATAGGATTGTGGGAGCCATAGTTAAAAAAGAGACTTGCAGAGATTTGCAGAGATTTTAAAGAGGTGAAGTATTGGGTACCATTTGTAAGTGATGTGGTTATTTGCCTAGCTAATGTGAAAGAGGTGTAGGAAACTACAACACAGGATACGAAAAAATGAAATATCTACTTATACTGTAAGCAGACATGCACGGGATAATGAAATATAGTGGCATTTTGATTACTCATTGAGTAGCATTAGTTTCCATTCAAATATTTTCAAAAATTTCTGAATAAAAAAAGAGACCTCACTTCTTCTCTGGTTCTCTTCTTAGGAATTCCCCGATTCCCTGAAAGAACAGACACATCTAGAAGAATGGCATATAAACAATACTAAGATCTCAACCATTCCAACCTACATTGCCTTATTTCAGGAGCTGAGAGTGCTAGAATTATCCAGTAATCAGATCACAGAACTCCCAGCTGAAATTGGTAAGTTTCCCTCAGATAGCTCCTGTTGATTTGTATCTCTTGTACTGCTCAGCAGAGAAGGGTGCATTTCAGCACCTTTTTAAAATCTCTCCCCTTTAAAATGCCCTCATAGGTTTTTTTGCACCTGTTTGTTAGAGGGGTCAAAATTGTTCACAAGGGTTATAGTGTTTGTACAAGAAGGCAAAGAAAGCTTGTCCTTTCTGCTGAGGGAGCCTGGTTGATCACCTTTCGCCACAATTCAGCTTTTATAGCTGACTAACTGTGGGTCATACTAGATACACTGATGATTACATTCTTTTCCATGAGTGTTCTCTGGTGAAAGGTGTCTGTCTGTCATAACACACGATTGTTCTCACCTATATATCTTGCATTAAGCATACTGTGTTTTGTGGTTGGTCATTGGAAGGTAAACATGGGCTTCATTTGCAGATCTGATTGTTGTGGCTTGTATTAGAGATGAGCACAAACTGCTGGTTTGGCGGTTTGTACCAGTTTGTCCATTGGTTCAACAGAAGTACCTCAGTTCTGAGCCCCATCTCCTCTGGCAGGGGCCCGCTCAGAGGCAGCGGTCAGAGAAAGTGGATCAGGAAAGCAGGGGTGCTGCCTCTAAGTGGGTGTCTTCTGGAGGAGGTGGGGCTCTGAAATGTGCAACACCTGTTGGACTGATGGATAAACCAGCATGAACGGCCAAACTGGCAGTTTGTGCTCATCCCTAATCTGTATCTTTGAGGAAATCCCAATGTGGAAAATGGTCTAATTGTAGTAGATGTGCATTCTTTTAAACTTTTTTGGCCCAGGGAACATATCACAAATGGTTTCACATCTGAAGGAACATCTAAATAGATATCCAAGTTGATTAGTTTAATAATCAACAGGCATGAGAGATTATGTGGCATTCACATTGGGTTTTCAGATAGTTAGTAAATGGGTTAGTAATGCAAAAGATTTGGGTATAACTGTTTTGTTCCCTTGCTGAGTTTGCACCAACCTAGCTATGTTTTTCTGTTGTGGATTCTTTTTGAAACCCAAGAAGACTAGTTTATTATATCATTAGCTTCTTTAAGAAATTAGAAAACTACATTCACTTAAGACATAAATGAGCTGAAATAAAATTACAGCTCTGTGTTTCTTTTTAATGGCCCAGATTATTGAAGATATTTTCCCCTCGTTTTCTTCACTAACTGCTTTCTGGAACCCACTGAGAGGTTAATTTTATACAACAGTGATGAATATGATTGGTTTATTTACGTATATTATATATTTTGTAAAATAATTGTCAGCTGACATCAATAGATATTTTATGGGCAGTCTGACAGGCAAATGCATTTGAAAACTATAAACAAGGCACAAGGTAGAATTTATGGATATAAAATAAAGACTAAAATTCTGGCTGTTTTGTTTTGCGGTCTATAATGAAACAGAGCAGGCTTAATTGGTTTAAGTGTTCCACAAGGTGGCAGTGGAGAACTGAATAAAAAGTGAATCCTGTCCCAAATTAGATTCTATCTCAAGTTTTTTTTCTACTTGCTCAAGTAGTATTGTTTTCTGAGGTGACAAAAAACAAAACAAAACAAAAACAAAGAACAAACACACACCCAAATCATGATTACTTGAACAATATGACTTGTTCAGGTATGACCTGCTATGAAAAATTAAGAATAATGTTAGCGGTATAAAAGTAATTCCCACTTACGTTTTTCATTCTCTTCAAGAAAAACATGTTGAAAAATTAAAGGCTTACACTCCTTGTCTAGCAGACAAGGGTGAACTGCTTAATTCCAACTTAGTTTATTTTTCAGAGGTAATTGTGTTGTGTTCTTTTGAAAGCCACAAGTGCAGAAGAACTCCAAGCACACCTGGCCTTTTTCAAAATTCTCTTCTTGTTAGAAATTGCCTGAGAAATATTTCACATGGTATTCCTAATGGCAGCATTATAGCGCATGTGAGATTGTGTTATTGAACTGCAGCGTGTTATTGAACTGCAGCGTAGAGGTTGTAGTAGCATTAGCTGAAATCTTGGGCCACTGTGATGAAACAGTTGGGGAACTTGGGAATGTGACTTTGCTGTTGTCCAAGATGAAAGGATTAACAGTCCCTTCCTACTTGCTGCACTCTCTGATTGGGTTTGCACACATAACTATAAATAAATGTAGCAAAACAAATGTAAAGAAAAAGGGCACACTATCTAGCAAGTGAAGGTTTAAAGTGGAGAAAAAGACTATAGCTAAGTCAGTGGCCAAAGTATTCTGTATGAGTCATAGACATCCAAAAGGTCAGTGAACTGCTTTAGAAAGGGCAGTCTACCCCTTCAAAAATTGTGGGTGGAACAATTAAGATTCTTATTTTCTCTCCATAAAAAAAAAAGCCAGGGGGAGCTGGAGGGAAGAAAATGGGAAGCAGATGGTTTGCTTATAACATTATGAAGGCCTGGTACAAAGTGATTGAAAACCATGTGGCTATTATATATAACAAACCAACTGCTTCGAACCACCCCAGGAAAATCAAGTTCAGGGCTCCAACCCACATTTTATATCATTACTAGAGATGGTAACCCTGGAAGGCCTAGAAATAACATAGATGGTAATTTGGTGTCACTTGATGACATCAGGTCTTAGACTTGCATTGGAGTCTTCCTTGTGTGTGTGTGTGTGTGTGTGTGTGTGTGTGTGCGCGCGCGCTTGCATGGGGAACTGGAAACAAAAGGAGTCTTTGATGTGTTCAAGGTATTAGTGGGAGACCCACCAGGTAGCTCTAGGAAAAGACCCAAGCAAGCATCCTGCTCTGATGAAATCTGGAGGATTTGGAGAGAGAACTGGTTTACATTTAAATTAGAATAAATCTGAAATGATGCTGTGTAATTATAGCAAAGGAAAAAAAAGGGACAATTAAGACTAAATTTAATCTCAGAATAAGTAAAGTTATAAAATGTTTGTGCATAAATATAATACAAATCTACAAGAGTTAAAAAGAGGTTAATTTGGTTAAATTGAAACAAAAATTAAATAGAAATTAAATAGTTATAAGAAGCTGCAACATCATGGTTTGGTGGCATCATGTTGTGTAAAAATGAAGATTATACCTGGAATTATTATTTTTATTTTGGATGCTACCAATAAAGTTATTAAATGATGAGCTGAAAATGAGCAGAAATTAGTGAATACGTTTTGTAAGTGATAAAAGAGTGAGGACAAATAAAAAATAATGGTCGTTTTTGTTTAGTCGTTTAGTCGTGTCTGACTCTTTGTGACCCCATGGACCAGAGCACGCCAGGCCCTCCTATCTTCCACTGCCTCCCGGAGTTCTGTCAAATTCATATTGGTTGCTTCGATGGCACTGTTCAACCATCTCATCCTCTGTCGTCCCCTTCTCCTCTTGCCTTCACACTTTCCGAACATCAAGGTCTTTTCCAAGGAGTCTTCTCATGAGATGGTCAAAGTACTGGAACCTCAGCTTCAGGATCTGTCTTTCCAGTGAGCACTCAGGGTTGATTTCCTTTAGAATTGATAGGTTTGTCCTCCTTGCAGTCCAGGGGACTCTCAAGGGCCTCCTCCAGCACCACAATTCGGGGCTGCTGTCTCCATCTGCAGTGATCATGGAGCCCAAGAAAGTAAAATCTGTCACTGCCTCCATATCTTCCCCTTCTGTTTCCCAGGAGGTGATGGGACCAGTGGCCATGATCTTAATTTTTTGATGTTGAGCTTCAGACCGTTTTTTTGCACTCTCCTCTTTCACCCTCATTACAAGGTTCCTTAATTCCTCCTCACTTTCTGCCCTCAGAGT